TTAAGAGAAATCTGATGCCTAACACTTTAATTTCCACAGATCCTAAAGAAAATAGCAGAGAGTAAAATCTTGATGGATAAAATTATAAGAGAAGCTGACATTTCACTTACTGAGGCCAAGTTCACAGCTGGGGATCTCAGCAGCATAGTTATCCAAAATGTAAATAAAAGTCCAAATGAAGATTCAGAGTAAGCATTATCATGATGAAGCTGGCAGTGATGAACTGACTAGTTTAGACCAACCCAGGAACAGTTTGGTAAATTAAAGATTAAATTATAGCAACGAAGTAGAACTACTGGTGGAATTAACTTTATTGCTGACATCCATTTTTACTTTGGACAAAGCTACAAGAACACCACCAGTATTCCTATAAATCTCATTGAAGGTGTCATTATTCTCCAGATTGAATATACCTTTGCTTGTATCATCACAGAGCTGAATGAGAAACAATGAGGAGAGTTTGGTAAGTTAAATAAAATTCAGGAGAAGAAAAGGATTCACACACACACACACACACACACACACACACACATACACACAAAAACAAACCTTGGAAGTATCTGAAGCAACAAAAGGCAGCTCTAGAGATGATGGAGCCTCCTAATTCAGCTGAAGAGCAAGGTGAAATTCTTCTGTTTCAATACTATTTCCTGCTTTGGTTACTTCAGAAACCCTAACAGGGCACCGTTTTAATTCAACGTGTACAGATTTCATGTGTAGAGCTATTTATTTTTTGTTCTAGAAATTTCACTGTTGCAATATTTCCCTTGATATCCATTTTTGGAATTACCTTTTCAGAATCATAACTCAGCAGCCATTTATTACAGCCCAGGAACTTGTAGAAGTGTCTGCACTTATTCCGCATAAGTATTGTTCTGCTCCATTTACAAATGTGTTACAAGTGATCTGCTTACCAATTACAGTAGGAAGCATTCTTTAGGAAGCAGCAGTGGTTTCAGGCTAGCAGATGGAGGTCAACTACAGCTGCAGAACCTCTCTCCTACCCACTAACAGACCTTAGAGTCACTGTTGCAGATTGCTGTAAGCTGTGGTAACAGGGCACCTCTTCCCTCAAGTTTTATGAAAATCTTAACTTATTTTTCTTTGTTTGACATGTCTTTCTCCTGGATCAACTCTATCAATTTAAATGTGACATTGGTGTAAAACATAAGATAAGCTTCAAAAGACAACAGTATAACAATACTAAGAGACTCAATAGCCCATTCTGGATAATGGGTCAAACTACAGATAGAATGCCACTGGGCAAAACTGATATTTTGAACAAACCTATGCACCTCATATACATATACAGAAGATTTATCCCTGTAGCAACAGTATACACATTCTTAAGTGCATAAGAAACTTTCTCCAAGATATATCACTAATTAGATCACAAAACAAAGTTTAACAAATTTTGAAGGCTAAAATCATACAAAGCATGTTTTCTGAAAGCAATGCCTTTGGATATTTCAAATTAGCTACACCAATTAAATAATTTAGGGTAAAATCTTTGCATTTATGTCTCCTCACCTACAAAAAGAGTTATAATAGCTCAGAAGGGTTTGCTGAATGTTTGATAATATAATCTAGATATAACACTTATCACAGAGTATAAGCAACAAATTAAATGACCATTTTTATTAGTTTGTCTCTCCAATGTTCTTATTGCTATTAAATTTTTATTTAATGTAAAATAATCTCAAAATCTCACTATATGAAGATCACTTGTTCACTATTTCTATGACATCACTTATTCATATACTTATGAAGCTTGTTATATTATTATGACTATTTATACACCAAATGATGCAAAACAAAAATTAATAAAAATCATCCTAACTTCAAGGAAATTTCAGTGACAAAGTAAATTAGGAGACAATTACATGTCTGTAGTGCAATAAAGGATATCATAAAATAGCTTCAGATGCCTATAAATGTAAAAGTAGAGACTTAGAGTCTTGCAGAGATACTTAGACTCAGTGTTCCTCAGAGGAAGAAATGCTGGACTGAGTTTGAATTAACATTTTACCAAGTAGAGAAAGGGATCAAGGTCACAAAGAAAACCACACCTCTAGAGGTATGAATACTTAGACAAACTGGCAAATTGGGGAACACTAAACAAATAAATAAGGCTTTTTCATTAAAGCATTCAGAAAGTTAATTTGTCTGTTGCTCAGTACTTTATTTAACAAATACATGGTTAATTTAGTAAGTAAGCACTCTGGTTGCTGTGAGAGAATTGGCATTAATCATATTCAGATTTTTTTCCTGAAGTAGGTTACAGTCTAGTAGAAAAGAATAAAGTTTAAAATAATCATAAAAGTGTCAGAAATCTCTGGAGAGATAAAATTATAGGATGTTATCTATTTTCCTAAGAGAAATAAGAGTTATATAGAGGGCTCGATGGAAAAAACAGATGACAAATTCATAAAAGAGTTAATATTTGACATGCAGACCTCATTTGTCATAAGAAAAACATTAATTATCCACCAATCCAGGGCCAGGTTATGTACTAGACACTTTATATATTCCAAAACTGTAAGAGGAAAAAAAAATATATGGAAGCTTAACTGAAGTCAGTATATGTTATCCACATAAACCATTATTCCCTATTCATTGATTTGATTAATTATTTTACTCTTTCTCAGTAATTCTGGACAAATCTATAGAAACCTTTTCAATACAGCATATAAGAGAAAACTTCCCCTGACTTCTATGTTTTAAATAATGTGAAATAAATCCTTGAATTAAACTAGACTTGATGAAAGGTGCATCTGTCGAACAAATTGTTTCAAGAAACAACTGAACTGTTTTCTCTAAAATGCTTTTTAGCATTACGTCCTTAGCCTACATAAAAGGATGTTACAAAATATAATCCTGTGAAATATATTAAGTAGCAGAGCGATCTTATTAAGGACACTTTTCATCACATTTCAGTGTCTTTTTAGAAAGCCCAATAGGAAGAATTCCTATCAGATTTCAGTACTTCATTTTTATCTGAGGGACATTGTTTCTCTTGGCACTTGCCGCCAGAACACTCCAATTAAATGTATACAGTATAGCAAATTTATGGGACCTCATATCATGTATTTTTATGTACTTGTTCAGCAGAATTTTCTTTTGCTATTTCTCTTTCTGAGATACCCTCGCTTATCTATTTTTAAAATATTATTATTATTTTGTGCATAATTCAGTAAGATTAACTTTACTATATTTTAACATATTATATTAACTAAATTTTAATATATTTCTTTTTTTTAATTATAAGATAGACCTATCAAAAGTTGAAGAAACTGTAGCTTGATTCTAGAGGTTATCTGTTTAACCATCCTACAAGGCTTATTTATTACTAACACAGATCCAAATGATATAACCAGTTGTTCATGCAATTTTGGGGAAGTATACACTACTCATTTAGTTACTATGGGATTAGATGTGAATATTTCTTGTGTTGAGTTTTCCAATAAGGATGGAAAAAAACAAGTATGATTAAGGTAGATATTCCAGGAAGGGAATCTGGATTAACTCAGACTGCAAATAAACCAAAACACACCATTTTTAAAATGAAGGTCACTCCTATCTTCATAGAGCTATTAGACTTCATGTTTTTAAATGAGTTAAAAAAGAACCCAAAAGGTAGGGAAGAGTACAGGCTGACTAAGGCAATAACATGAGATTGAAAGAAAGTAGAAAACATTGTTCCACTGTATATGGATTGTTCAGGCCTGTTAGTACAACACTGCAATACTGTACTGAAACATTTCCCCCCGACAAAACCATACATTGAGTCCTAATACCAACATCTCAAAAATTTACCTTAGTAGGAGAAAAGGCTACTTTAGATGTAAACAAGTTACAAGATCATTAGAGTGGGCCTGAATTCAATATGACTGGTATCCTTAAAAAAGGAATATTTAGAAAAACACATGTACACAGGGAGAACACCATGTGAAAATGAGGACAGAGATAGGTGTGATGCTTCTTCAAATAAAGAACACCAAAGATTGGCAGTAATCAACAGAAGCTAGACGAGAGGCATGGAACAGATTCCTCATCAAGTACGTAGCAGGAGCCATGCCTGCTGATACCTTAATCTCATATTTCCATCCTCCAGAACTGTGAAACAATAAATTCCTGTTGTTTAGGACACTAGATTTACGGTTATTTGTTATGGCAGTCCTAGCAAAACATGGGTTAAATGAGTGAAACCCTACAGAAATGTTTTCAATTGTTGGCAGAGGCAATCTAAGTTCTTTGACAGTTCAAGAGAACTGTCATATAACTGACACTAGCATGTTCCTTTCAAACAATCACACACACTCAGGCATGAACGCACATATTTCAAGACAAAAAATTTTACCTCTTTCTTGTAAAATGAAATTATGTTTACTGTTCTCATTAATATTTTCAGCAAATTCTGAGTAACTACTATGTGCCAGTCAGAGTATGCTCAGGGCATAAAGAAATCTGCAAATTCCAATCCTTACTGAATATAAATTCATAGTCAAGTCCTGATGTCTCTTTTCAGTATGCCCACAGCATTTGTTCATGGTAATGTATGTGTGTTCAACTGAATCCTTTCTCTAACCATTTCTGTATAGGGAAGCCTCCTCTCTCACAAAGACTAAGTTAGCAAGCACTTCATACAAAACCAAGTAAAGAGTAGACATTCATATGTAATGATTTAGCATATAGCTAAAGTGTGTCCCCTTATTCCAAAATAAATAATATCTGGGAAAATATTATCTAAAATACAAGATACTGTATAAATATTTGTTAGCATAACCACTACAATCTAATCATTATTAGCAATAAAACATAATATTTAATTTTTAAGTATGTTTCAGTTAATTCCTTCAAAATAGATGTTTTTGAACAAATTATTCAATTTTCATGAAGTATAATATGGGTGGAATAATAGTTGTCAGATGGAAATGGATTTAAAAAAAAAAAAACTGTCACCTTGCAAACTCAAAAGCAAAGTTGTTTTAAAAACTCACCACTTTCAAAGCAAGCATCAAAGACAAGATGTCCTTTCCTGGGCTGTCCACAATATCCAGATGGAAGCACCATATATTTGCTCACATTCCCTCCAATGGCATCATCACTCCCCAGATCATTGCCTATTTAAAAAAAAAAAGAAGACTCATGTTAAAGAAATCAAAATTTATTAGTAGCAACAGTCCAATAAAGTTATTATAATTAAACACTCATACCACACATATCTACAGAGTCACTTAGTACTTATCCAGGGAGAAAGAAATTAACTACATATGGTGGTAGAGTAGAAAGAGAATACATTTTGCTGGGCCTCTCTGGTGGCACAAGGGGTTAAGTCTCAGCACTATGAATCTATGACCAGCCACTGTAGTACACAGTTCGATCCCCAGCCTGAGAACTGACCCACATGGTGCAGCAGATCTCTCCTGTCTCTCCTACTGCTCCCCTCAGCAGGATATTCCAGTCAATCTGCCTGTTCTGCTCCTGACTCTGTCTTTGGTGAATCCTCTCCTCTCCCATACCACTGGCCTGTACCATAAGTAAATCTCTTTAAAAAAAATAGGATACATTTTGAAATAAAAAAGATATGGGTTCAAATTTCCTATTATACCTCTATGATGCAAAGCAATCAACTTTCATCTCTTCAAATCTCAGTGGCTCCAATTCATAAAAAGATTGTAGTAAAACACATCTTTCAAAATTATATTATGGAAATTAGATATGAAAATATTTAATATGACTGATGAAACTTAAAAAGAACATTAAATTACATCAATTATTTAATAAATGATAATGATTTGTTACAAATATAGTTAATTGTTCTCATTTGAATAAAGCCATAGTTCTACTACCACCATTATAACTACTTAATATTCTACCATCAGAAATAATGTGAAAACCACTGAATTAGCATAGAGGTGGAAAGATCAACACTTTTACCTTGAAAAGAAATAGTTCAATAAAGAACAAAATAAACGGGGTGGGGGGGAGGGAAATGCACGGGATTATGGTGATGGCACATGGGTGACTTGGTGATGGGAAACCCGCGGGGATTACAATTGAGATGGAAAAAAAATGTACAAAATGAAGTAAAAAAATAAAAAATAAAAGAACAAAATAATAACTTTTAAAAATCTATCAGTCATCTGAGGATTGCAAGGTAATCAATACATGGTGTCAAAAAAAATCAAAAAATAATCTCAAAACATCCTCTTAAGGATATTAGTGGGAAGAGGTAAACCAGCAAACCTCTACTATATAATACAGTTTGATAAATACTAGAATTACTTCAGAGAAGTTCAAAGCATTCCACAAGAACACAGAGGAAATATCTAAACTTCCCTCACAGAATCCTTTCCGAACCATCTTTAAAATATATGTAACAATTAACCATTACAGAAGTGCAAAAAGAAGTTTGAAGAAGACTGTGAATGCAGGAAAAAGATGGGAATTTAGGGAGGAAGACATCAAATAGACCATGATGGACTTTTTGGTCACGCAAAGACGGTTAGACTTTATTCCAAGGAGTAAAAATCTGTTCTTGAGGGATCTGAAGATAGACTAGGTATAATCTATAGCCTTGGGGTTCAGAGTCTGGAGCATTGTCACAGAAAGAAAAAGGAAAAACTGCCTCATGGGTAATGAGTTAAGCATAGTAGGTCAAATGTGGTAACTGAATGATGCAGGCAGGAGGGCTGGAGAGGCAGACTGAGAACCATGCTCTTTCTACACAGACTGCGCTGTTTCAAGAAAGCATGATGACAGATCAGCCTTTGGAGAATTTACATATGTAATCTTGTCAAACTCTACAACTGTATTCTGGTTCCCAAATTAGACTTGTACTTCTAAATGAAATTTTAATTTACATGCTAAAAACAGAACTCTTAAAAACAACATCTGGCTGGTTTTCCTAATCTATTTCTGCCAGATTCAATATTCAATGAGTTCCAGCAGAGTGTTCTCCAAAACATGACCTATGAAAGGTTTTTGGTGATTCTCATTAATCTTGCCTCAGGATTCACTGGGTACCCACTCTATGCCAGGCACCATGTTAGATGCTGGAGCTACAGAGATGAATGAGACTTAAAATGTCCTTCAAGGAGTATAGGCAAATGAGGTAGACAAGTAAGCAAGTACAATAAAGTACTTTGCATTCTCAGATACATGTATGTACATTGTAAAAGGAGTCTAAAAGAAATAATAAATCCCCTGTGTGAAAACAGTTGGGGAAGGATTTAGAACATTTTCCAATAGAAAAAGTATTAAGTGACACTTAACCTGAATGCTGAATAGGTGTCTACCAGGCAGCCAAGAAATAAAACCCCAATTTGTCAAGATAGGTTGCTCTAGTTGAAAAAAAAAAAGACCCAGAGATTAAGAGATTACAGAGATTAAAGAGAACATCCTAGAGAATTACTCAAGTCTGAGTACTTTGTTCACTAAGTCTATTTGTTTATGAGAAATGCATATGTGTACTTACCCCATAATAAAACTGAAATTCTTCATAGAGCTGAAGCAGAAAAATTACATGATGTGTTTGTACAATAGAAAGAGCCTTCTGGCAATAGACTGGGTAAACAGTACAGTGCAGAAAGTGCCATTAAGAGGCTGAAACAGGGCCCTCCCTGGCGGCACAGTGGGTTAAAGCACAGCACAAGGAAGCTAAAGCCACTTCTGCATGAGTTCGATTCCCGCCTGCCCCGGAGGTGACCACATGGCGTGGCAGACCTCTCCTGACCCACCCGCTGCTCCCCTCAGCAGTGTACTTCGTCGATCTGCCTGTTCTGCTCCCCGCTCTGTCTCTGGTGAATTCTCTCACCCTCCGCATCTCTGGCCTGTAATCCAGTTCTGTACAAATAAATAAATAATTAAAAAAAAAAAAAAGAGGCTGAAACAAAGTCTAGATGAGATATGATGAGACTCTGAACTAGGTAAAAACAAAGGAAGAAAAGTGAAAGCTATCCATAAGATATACTGAATAATTAGGTGTTGTTATTCCCCTGATTCTCCCATTCCTGGGAGCATATTTCTCTTCTAAATGAATCAATGATATTAAATGACTATAAGAGAAAAAAATGAAGATCAATAAACAGCAATGTTCAAACATGGCGATATTCAATTCTCACATGTCCCAGGAATAACTGAATTATCACAGGTATACAGGATTTTATTTAAGACTTAGAGAAAATAAAAATTTTCAAAGAGGACTAGCCATGAGCATAAACTTAAAATTTAATATTCTTCAACAAAAAGATTTTACTAAAATTGACAAAATCACACAAAGCCCTTCACTTGTACAAAAAGACTCAACTGCACAAATGTAGATCCAGCCTAATAGAAATATGAAAAAAGTTTTCTTTGATCAATATCATTTTTAAAAAAACAATGAACACTGATAGTAGTAAGCTATCATGAACACATAAAACAATAGTTTTTATTAAGATATTGTGGACCTATAACATTGCATTCCTTTCAGGTACACTAGGCAATGATTCTATGTTTGTATATATTGCAAAATATCCATCACTATTTATAGTTAAAAAATATTTTTCTCTGAAGAGCTACTCTTTGGCAACTTTTACATATATTATACAGTATTATTAACTATAGTCATCATGCTAAACATTACATCCCCAAACTGATTTATCCTGGTGGCACAAGGGGTTAAAACACAGCACCATGAAGATATCTGCAGCCACTGCAGCACGAGTTCCATGCCCAGCCAAAAAAGTGACCCACATAGCACAGTAGATCTCTCCTGTCTAGCCCCTGCTCCCCTCAGCAGTTTACTTAGTCAATTTGCCTGTGCTGCTTCCCACTTTGTCTCTGGTGAGTCCTCTCACTCTCCCACACCTTTGGCCTCCCACAGTTTTTGTATGTATAAATAAATAAATCTTTAAAAAATATAACTATATTTGTATCTTTTAATCACTTTCATCCATTTCACCTACCCAACCCCCCTCATAATCCTGAAATGATCATGGGGATAGATCTTTTCAAATTAGCTTTTTAATTTTCACCAGATAAATACCCAGAAGCAGAATTGTTGGATTATATGGTAGTACTATTTTTATTTTGAGACATCTCCATGCTTTCCATAGCAGTTGCAGTAATTTACATTCTACCAATAGTGCAAAGGATTCTTTTTTCTCTACATCCTCACCAAGACTTGTTATTACTTGTCTTTCTGATTATGTATCTCACTATGGTTTTGACTGGCATTAAATGATAAGTTTTAATGGGCTATGTGCTGATCAGGCCACAGATGAAAAGCACTGTTCACTTTAGACATCTCATTTTCAGGGAGATATGAACTAGTGTTTACATAAAAAAAGATGATAGCCTTCTGAGTCATCTGAAGTGCATGTCTAATGAGGAAAAGGTAAAAAAATTAATGTGATAGTAGTAAATTCTACTTCATACCTACTACACAATAGATATTTCTAATGTTTAATATATAAATGGGATTAAAAAACTAAAGGGATTTATTACAACTCTCTCTGATAATGTGAAGAGCTAACAAGTAAAAGGAAAACTAGAATATTAAACTTGTACTGCTAGAGTGGACTAGAACCACCAAGAAGTAGATTTCAGATCAAAATATATAAAAAAAAAAACAACCTAATGAATATAACTACTCAACAGTAAAATAAGCTGCCCTAGAAAAGTGTTCACCTTTTCATGAGAAACATTTGAAAAGCATACTAGAATATCATTTCTTGGATTCTCTGTAAAAAAAAGATGTATTTCCTTAAGCAAAAGTTGAACAAATTGGCATAGGTATCCTTTAAATTCGATGATGTAGATGCTACTAAGCATCTACTACATGCCTAGGCAGCAAGAAATACCAAAAACAAACAAAAAACGAAGTGTACAATATTTCTGCACTCAATAAGTTGTTAAGATTCAATTCGCAATTGTTGACATCTTTTCTACTTTCCAATATGTGTGGGAAAATAACATAAAATGCAGTGGCAAAATAACTCAGGTCATCTATATACTATTACTGTTGAAGAATCACTTATTTAAATAAAAACAATGCACTAGATCTTAAGTGGGATGAAATAATAATGGGAATGGTAGTTTCATATTATATGATTTATGTGCAATTTCCATGAGTGAA